CGGAATGATGATGTCAAAGAGGTAAAGCGCACACACACACACCCACACACACACACCCACATCAGGAGAGCCAGACCAGTCTAATAGTCATCCCACTATATAAACTACATATTAAACTACCTGGTAGCTTTCAAAATGATATTTAAGACACACATTTTCCTTAAGACAAATCTCTTCTGTATTTAACTGGAGTGAAATTTTACAGTATCTTAGTCAAAACTCTCAAAATCATTAAAGTGACCAGTCTAGAAACAATGTACATTTTAACCAGTTAATCTGACAAAACAGTTAAGGTTAAGACCGTCTAAACAAATGATTATCAAAAGCCAATTTACATTTAACCTGTCCTGCAAGATGACCAATCAAGATGGGTTCTGGCCCAACAGAGATATTCAAAGAATGGCATCTTGTGAAGTAAATGTTTATAACATGTAAATAACTACCCTTTCATCTTAGATATAAATTGTTTACTTAAAATATCATAACTGTGTCCAGCTGACAAACTGCAGCAAAACAGAAGGCACACACTACAATTTTAAAAGCACACAAAAACTGCAATCTAACTGCAGAAAAGGCATCAAATTACAGTCACCTCTACTGTACACATCAGCAATATTCTAACATTACATTGGGTCAAGGGTTAAAAGCAGTGTTTTTCAAGGTATGGCCCACAGACCATTATTACCTGTGATTCTTGTTGAAATGTACCTCACCCACCCACCACCCACTGCTGTCAAGTTGAGTGACCTGGTAGGGTTTTCCAAGGCTATAATCTCTCTGAAGTGATTGCCACATCTTTCTCCCACGGAGCTGCTTTTCGGTTAGCAGTCGATTGCTTTGACCACTGTGCCACCAGGGCTCCTCAAAATGTACCTCAGGCCCATTGAATACAAAGCTCTGAAGGAGGAACTCATAAATTTGCATTTTTTAACACCTTCCAAGGTTCCCATTGCGGTCCAGTCGATTCTTGCAACCCTACAGGACAGAATAGAACTGCCCCATAGGGTTTCCAAGATTGTAAATCTTTACAGAAGCAGACTGTCCCCGTGGGTTCAAACCAACAGCATTTCAGAATGCAGCCGAGCGCTTGCTTAACCACTGGGCCACCAGGGCTCCTTCTTCCAAGGTTAGCACATTTAAATTTGAAAGCCATTGGTTTACGGTTAGGCCAGTAAGGAGAATGAAGAGTAAAATGGAAATACTGAAACACTAATAAATTAAGAGTGATCAATCAACTAAAAAGTGGTCAGTAAACCAGCCATATAAAAACATCAAAGCATTCCCTTCCTTCCTCATTAGTACCTCATTATCAAAAAACTGACGAGGAAATGTAGCTTTGGCTTGTCAGGAAGGCAGACAGTATAAGAACAGATGGAAAATTCCTAAAGATTTTGGAAGAATCAAAATGTTTTCCTTGAAACTGCATATATTGAAAATGAACCATCAAATGCTTATAATCTCTTTTGCTCTATTTCTTCAATACTTAATGGTTGATTATGTGAACGGTTTTTCATCAGTCAGTTATATCTGTCTTTCAGCTTGATTTTGCCCATTTGGTTTCCTGCAGTACACTGACCACTTCACAAACATTATGTTACTTCTTACTCTTAGGTGTTCTTTTAATCATCTAGCTGTTTACTGTTGTTGTCAGCTGCCACCAAGTCAGTTCGATTCCAACTCATGAGGACCCCGTGTGCGCAGAGTAGAACTGTTCCATAGGGTATTCAAAGCTTTTGGAAGTAGATCACCAGGCCTATCTTCCGAGGCGCCTCTCGTGGGTCTGAAGTGTCAACCTTTTGGCTAGTAGTCAAGCGCTTAACCGTTTGCATTTAAGTTTAATGCCTTCTAAAGTAGAACTAAAAGAAAGAAAATGCTGAACTGGTTTAAGCATCATACCTGTAAGGCTTAGATTCCTATTATTATATACCGAGCTGTACATCCATGTAACTGCACCATAAGCCTTGGCAGCCATCTTAAAAATGAGGCTGGGCTCACAAGGGAGATCTATGGAGAGCACTGTGAGTAAACTGTACGTTCCCATCACTATTGCTGCAAACAATTTAAGGAGAAATCCAAAAGATGTGGTTTGTAGCTTAACCTTCAAATATAAGAACAATGTTTTAAGACCACTTTAATAAGCCACAGCCAAAGCTTTAGTAAAAATTAATGTATTTAGTATGATTTTTGGGACAAGGAAATAGGAGAAACAAAAATTGAGGAAGGAAAACGACCATTTTTTCAGATACATGTTACTTACTCTATGAACAAGTAAAAGCAACCCTCCTTGTTGTCAAAGCAGGCCTAATATAAATTTTATCCAAGGTATTCAAAAGAGAGCATATACTGAAATGTTAAACAAAGACAGTAGAAGCTTACAATAAAATCTCATACACTCGACGTATCAAATTCTGTTACTTCAGTTTGCCGTAACTGTTAAGGTATGGCTCATTTATTCTGCTTTCCTTTTAAATTGCTTTGTGCCATAATTGAAGCCTTTAAAGTTAGCCTAGCTACAAAACAGAAAATCTCTAGATCCACTAATCCCTTCAGTCTTCAACGAGAAAGAAAATCACACTAACAATACACCAGTGGTATCAAACGCCCTTCAGAACATCACCATGTACCTGTTGTTATTATTGTTAGTTGCTCGAGTCAGCTCTGACTCACAGCGACCTTATTATAACAGAACAACATTGCCCAGTCCTGTGTCATCCTCACAATCTTTGGTATGTTTGATCCTATTGTTGCAGCTATTGTGTCAATCCATCTCATTGAGGATTCCCCTCTTTTTCGCTGACCCTCTACTTTACCAAACATGATATCTTTTTCTAGTAATTGGTGTTTCCTGATAATGTGCTCAAAGTAAGCAAGACACCACCCTCTCACTTCTACTGAACATTCTGGCTGTACTTCCTCCAAGATAGATTTGTTCGTTCTTTTTGCAATCCATGGTATATTCCATATTCTTCGCCAACACCACAATTTGAATGTGTCAATTCTTCTTTGGTCTTCCTTTTTCATTGTCCAGCTTTGCATATGAGGCGACTAAAAATACCATGACTTGAGTCAGGAGCACCTTAGTCATCAAAATGACAACTTTGCTTTTTAAGATTTTAAAGAGGTCTTTTGCAGCAGATTTACCCAATGCAGTATGTCCTCTGATTTCCTGACTGCTGCTTCCATGGGAATTGATTGTTGACCAAGTGGAATGAAATTCCTGACAATTTCATTTCTTTACTTATCATCGTGTTTGTTGACCAGTTGTAAGGATTTTCGTTTTCCCCATACTGAAGGTTGTAGTCTTTTATCTTCATCAGTAAGTGCTTCAAGTCGTCTTCATTTTTGGCAAGCTAGGTTATGTCTAGATTTTACAGATTGTTAATGAGTCTTCCTCCAATCCTACAATGTCGAGTTCTTCTTCAAATAGTCCAGCTTCTTGGATTATGTGCTCAGCACACAGAATGAATAATAAGGTGAAAGGCTATAACTCTGACGCACATCCTTCGCAATTCCCGGCCACGCAGTATCCCCTCGTTCAGTTCAAACGACTGCCTCTTGGTCTATGTAAAGGTTCCCCATGAGCTAAATTAAGTGTTCCGGAATCCCCACCCATAATTTGTTACATAGCTGAATGTTTTCCCACAGGTAAACATCTTCCTGGTAATCTCTGTTTTCAGCCAAGGCCCATCTGATATTAGCAATGATATCTCTCATTCCACGTCTTCTTCGGAGTCTGGCTTGAACTTCTGGCAGTTCCCTGTCTACATGCAGCAGCAGCCTTTTTTGAATTATCTTCAGCTATATTTTGCTAGCATGTGATATTAATGATATTGTTCAATAATTTCTGCATTCCATTTGATTATCTTTCTTGGGAATGGGTACAAATATGGATCTCTCGCAGCTAGTTGGCCAGGTAGCTGTCTTCCAAATTTCCTGACATAGACACATAAGCACTTCCAGCTTTGCATCCATTTGTTGAAGTATTTCAATGAGCACTCCATCAATTCCAGGAGCCTTGTTTTTCGCCAATGCCTTCAGTGCAGCTTGAACTTCCTTCACTACCAGCAGTTCTTCATCATACGCTACCTCTTGAAATGGTTGAACACTGGCCAATCCTTTTTGGTACAGTGACTCTATATATTCCTTCCATCTTCTTTTGATGCTTCCTGCATCATTCAATTTTTTGCCCATAGAATCTTTCAGTATTGCAACTCTAGGCCTGAATTTCTTCTTCGGTTCTTTCAGCCTGAGTAATGCTGATCCTGTTCTTCTATTTTGGTTTTCTAACTGCAAGTGTATGCACATTTTATTATAATACTTTACCATGTCTTCTTGAGATGGTCTTTGAAACCTTCTGTTCAGCTTTTACTTCATCGTTTCTTCTGTTCACTTTTGCTATTGTGACATCCATTTTGGTCTCTTCCTTCTTTCCTGTGTTTTTAATGACCTTTTACTTTCTATACCCACCAATCTCTGCAAACATCAAGGAAAACAAAAATCGCACTAACAATACACCAACAGTATCAACCGCCCTTCAGAGCATCACCATGTACTTAGACATGCTTCAAACAGTCCCAAGCCACACAAAGCCTATAGACGGAGCAGAAAACATGTGAGAGATAGGTTGGAGGCCTCAGGGATGGTCATCTCACCTGCTGATGAAACCATATCCGTTTCTTACATTGATCCATTTTACTGTTCTCAAAACCTTTGCTGCTGACAGCCTTTTCTCTTCAGCTAATGGGTATGGGGTTTCTTTTGGGGGGGTGATAAAATGTTCTAAAATTGATTGTGGTGATGGCTACAGAACTCTATGAATACACTAAAAAACCACTGAATATACACTTTACATGGGCAAATTGTATATGATATCTAAACTGTATATGATTTCTGTAAACTGTATATGATTTATATCTCAAGAAAGCCATTATAAAACAACCACAATAACAACATAGAAGCAAAGTCCCTGACCCACACCCCTGTGAGCTGCTGGTACTCACTTTGTAGCCTTCATGGAATCATCTGCCCAGCCTCCCTGCCGACGGGGTGGCTTTGGAGGAGGAGCCTACAGAAAGAAGCCAAAATAACACCCTCAATCAATGTTTGCCTTCAAACTAAGGTTAAGGTCATACCTAAACCTATATTCAGCCTGTCAAAACCTCTCAAATAAAGATACAGTAATCTAATATAAAAATCTAGGTGCTTTTATAGCCTTCTGGTGGATGTATATATTGACACATGGTTTCTGGAGGTCAACTTGGCAATATGTATTTAAAGTCTTAAAAATGCTCATACTTTTTGAGCCAGTAATTACAATCTCAGGAATTTATCCCAAGGAAATACCGTATTTTTACTCAAATAATGTGCGCCTTCTGCGTTTGCTGGCCCCGCCCTCCCCCTGCAAGGCACCCTCACAAGCAATGCCAAGCCAACCCTCTTCCACATGTTGCTGTAAAAACAATCAGCATAGGATGCTTACAAAAAGAAAATACCTCGTGGGGGGAGGTAGCGGCCAGTAAACAAACACAGAAGGCACAGCATTATTTGCACAAAAATACGGTGATCAGTAGGAACATGTATATTTGACAGTGAGTAACTGGAAACCAGCTAAATGATCAACACTAAGGACATACGTAAATTACAGAATAAACATATGAAAGTACTATGCAATGATAAAAAGTTGCGTTACAAGTAAATACTTAATGAGAAAGTTCAACATATATTACTTTTTAAAAACACACTGCAAACAGTAGGTATGTTTCTGATTTTGTGAAAAGATTACTAATATAGAATGTTGTTGCTGTTAGCTGCCACCAAGTTGGCCCTGACTCATGGCAACCTATGTTGCCCAGTCCCATGCCATCCCCATAATTGGCTGCAGATCCAGCAATGTTCTGATGTGATCCATAGAGTTTTCAATGGCTGATTTTCAGAAGCAGCTTGCCAGGCCTTTCTTCCTATTAATTCATAATATCTAGTGTTAACTGCTATATGTACATGAGGGGAATGGGACTCCAGTGATGAAACTGTGGGCAATTTTTATTTCCCTTTTTTGTGCCGTTCTGCATTTTCCAAATTTTTTTTTTTTTTTTTTACAATTGACTTATATTACCTTTATAAACAGAAAAGTAATAAAATAAAGACATAAGAAGGAGGCTCATTTAGAAGGCAAACTAAACTGGTGGGTTAAAAATCTACTCAAATTATCTGAGCAGGAATCATTCATCTGCAAAGTATACATTCAGAAACCCAAGTGCCGGAATTCCTGTCCAGTATATAGCAACTAAAATTACCAGGGAATACCAACTAATCCACTGAACCACTCTAGTAGGTAGAATAGCATTTTGAATTACCCAGTATTCTTCTAAAACTGGTTTTTAAAATATCAATTTTCTTTTTCCAAGACTTGATATAATTACAATCATTGCTCTCAGTCTGGGAGGTACCTTGAAAAATGGACTAAAACAAGGATTAGCAAACTCTTTCCGTAAAGGGTCAGGTAGTAAATATTTTCACTTTTGTGGGTCATACAGTCTCTGTTGCAACTACTCAATCAGAATACTACAGAACAACAAACAGCCACAGACAATAAATAAATGGGTGTGGTTGTGTTCCAACAAAATTTAATTTACAACAGACAGCGGGCCAGTCTGTGGAATGTAATTTGCTGGCCCCTGGACTAAAATGCTGTTTCACTGCAACTGCCTTTTAATCTACTGCTCAAAGCCTATATCGTAATTTTTTAATACCACCTTAACATGCCAAAGTACCTTTATACTTTTGATGTTTTTATTTTACACAAAGATAAACTTTCTTTCCTGCTTCTCTAGTAACACCCCAGCCTACCGAGGACATGTTGCATCTCCATGCTGGGCGTTTCTGCAGGGTGAGCCAGAGCCCTGCTAGAAATGAGTGACTGAAAAGAAGCCAAAGCCTGGAATGCCTATCTCCAATTAGCTCCTGGGTATGTGAGTAGCACTTCAGAGAATAGTACAAACTTCAGTTTTCTGTGCTGTTGTTGTTGTTAGGAGCCATAGAGTCGGTTCCAACTCATAGCAACCTTATGTACAACAGAACGAAACACTGCCCGGTCCTGCATCATCCTCATAATAATTGTTATGGTTGAGCCCATTGTTGCAGCCACTGTGTCAATCCATCTCGTTCAAGGTCTTCCTCTTTTCCGTTGACCCTCTAATTTACTTTACTAAGCATGATCTCCTTCTCCAGGGACTGGTCCCTCCTGATAACATGTCCAAAGTCCGTGAGACGAAGCCTCGTCATCCTTACTTCCAAGGAACATTCTGGCTGTACTTCTTCCAAGACAGATTTGTTCATTCTTCTGGCAGTCTATACTATATTCAACATTCCTTGCCAACACCATAATTCAAAGGCATCAATTCTTCTTCAGTCTTCCTTACTCACTGTCCAGCTTTCACATGCATAGGAGGCGACTGAAAATACCATGGCTTGGGTCAGGCTCACCTTAGTCCTCAAAGTGACATCTTTCCTTTTTAACACTTTAAAGTTAAAACATTGTCTATGCTAGAGGCAGGTGATGAAGCTATCTTGGGGCTCTGCATATCTCAGTTACAAACAACAAAATTACAGAAGTGGAAACAAGCTACTGGGTGTCTCAAACAATAAAAGGGGAAAGCCAGAGAAGGGACATGTACTAAGTCAGAGATCCCACCATCGCTTCCCAGTCCACACACCCTCTTTTGGTATACTTGGTACCCCACGCATGCTCGTCCATAGGCTGAAGGGGTAAGCCTCATATCCTATGAACCCTCTTTCCTAAGACATAGCTGACTGAAGTGTGGGTATTCCAGTCTGATCCAATCTGAACCAATCAGATTCTCTGTCCCAGGAATCTGGGGTTGAGGCAAGAGGTTAAGTTGTCCAGACAGCTCAGGGTACTGGGGCTATAACGGTCCGTTGGAATCACAATAACCCAAAGCTAGCACAAGCCAAAGTTGTGTGTAAGGAGAAACCAAGAACCTTGCACAGGGAGGGAGGCTGCAGAGAAACTATGACAAAGCAAAGAGCCCCATCTTTATTGGAACTCAAACAACATTAGACAGGTAGACTCATGATTCACTTATCTGTTAACAAATACTTGCAGGGCTCTTACCCTGAGTAAGGCACTATGTTTGGGAGGCCTGAAATCTTAAACAAAGGGAAGTGAACTGAATCTTACTGGGTCCCCTTGAGGAGTGCTCATCTGATATCAATGGATATTTTAAACCCATCTGACCTGCACCCATCTTCCTTGTGGTGTAATATAATACCCTGTATTTCTTTACTCATGGATGGGGCCATCTGTGATAATGTGCATTCGGAACTGGAGTTGATATGATATGGTAAAAACTGTAATAATTCATTACCTCAGGGTCTTCTGGCCTTCTGTGTAAGCTACTTTCATCTCCCCCAAACACTGAGATCCCTGGGAGAGGGAGAGTTCTAAAGAAATCCTCTCAGGGATTGGACTGGACTGTGGGACATAAAGTGATACTCGTGAAGAGTGTGACTCTTAGTCAAGTAGATACAAGAGACCAAAGGGGCAGCTTCTGTCCAGAGGTGAGATGGGAAGGCAGAGAGGGTTAGAAGCTGGTGGAATGGTCATGGGGAATCAGGGGCGGAAGAGGAGGAGTGTGCTGTCGCAGAATGGGGTGAGCAATTAGGGTCTCATAACAATGTATGCATAAAAATTTTGTATGGGAGACTAACTTGAAATGTAAACTTCATTTAATTACAACAATAAAAATTAAAAAATAAAAAAAAAACTCCTCTGAGCAAAAGGAAGCAGGGGCTGTAAGAGCCCTCCTTGCTTCCCACTAGGAGTCTTAGCAAACCTCAGAAGAGTGCTGAGGCAGGTGGGAAATGGAGACAGCCAGGCAGAGCTTAGCTCTCTGTAAGGCAGGGACTGGACCAAGAGAGGGAAAGGTCTATCTCTTGATTGGGAATCCTTACATTCATTATTTAGTAATCTGAGTCCAAGGATAAGAATTTTTTTTGTAAACACCACCTACTACAAGTCTTACAGCCACACATAAATATCCTGTCTGGATGAGACAGATTAAATTAACCACTATTACCAAGAACTCAATTTTGTTCCCTATGTGGGAAGCTGGGCACTGTCCTAAGTGTATTAGGTGACAGTGAGAAAGCAGAAGATGCCATCCCTGTCCTCAAATGTTACCTCAGTTCAGTGAGGCTGAGAAGAGGCAGAATTCAGGGTATATCGGGTCTGTGTGAACTCTATGTGATTGGACATCAGGCTTAGTCTGAAGTCTAAGAAGCCACATTAGGGTAGGGACTAGCTATTGGCAATGGAGCATCACAAAGAGGTACTGAGAGACATTCCAGGGAGAGGCTGCACGCAGAGGCCAAAGGGGAAGCTGAGGAGGAATCCCTTCAGCCACGGGGCAGTTCCACTGAATTTTGCAGTTTTCTTGTCACCCTGGTGGTTTTTATTGGGCCACTTTCTCCTGATCCATCATTAAAACAGTGCTATGAGACAGGCATGCAAAGTTTGCAATACATAACTAGAGGCTAAACAAAATTGAATGGACTTGGGAATTGCTGAGGAAAAAGAGGTCAAGGAAGTTTTGTGTAAAAAGCGGGGCTTGCCCTGGATTGAAAGGAAAAGGAAAAGCATTCCAGAAGTAACCAGATCCAAGGTTGTAATGAGGACAGGAATAGCAGATACCACTTGGCCTGTAGCAAATGTTGTTATTGAATAAGTATTAGTAGAGGACCCCGGGGAAAATCTTTAGGGGTCTGAGACCCTCAGCATCTATTACTTTACAATGCAGGCCTTAAGTGTAAGCTGATGCAACTTGATCATCAGGCAGCAGTTGGTAATTAGGTGCAAATCATCTCTTTGAAATGTAAGCTAGTAACTCACTTTTAGCAATATAATTTAAAAGGTCTGGTGGGCTGCTTTTGCATGGACAGCCCAGCCCCTGAATGCCTGGCTGCTCTTCCTAAGAGCTATAAGGACACCTAGTTAGCCCTATTTCAAAAAGAGCCCCACAACCCTTTCCCCAGGGCAATGTGAAACAC